GGCGCGTGGCCTTTGTGACGCTCCGCCTCCCCAGGGGAAGGCGCGTGTGCTCGTGCAGCGCGCCAACGAGGCGTGTTGGTCCGCGCCGGCCGCCGTCCCGAGCGCTGGCCCCGCCCCCGCGAGCAGTGGCGCGCTGGGCGCGATGGCGGAGCCGGGGCTAGGCATGGCCTCTATGATCCCGGCGCTGCGCGACCTGGGCAGGTAGGTGCGGCCGGGCGGGCACCTGGGTCCACCGCTCTGTGCCATGAGCGCCCCGAGCGGCCGGGCCACAGCGGTACCCGCGCGGAGCAGCGCAGCGCCGTGCCCCCGGCGGGGCAGGCTAGGGAAGCGGCGCTGTGGCCGGGCTCAGGGAGGCACCGATGTTTCCCGGCCTGAAAGCCGGCTCGGGCACCGGGTGGTGCTGACGCGCCCCTTCTTCCCCCGCAGCGCCGGGCCCGAGGACTACCCCAGCGTGGTGCAGAAACCCAGGCAGATCCTCGGCCAGTTCGTTGACAGGATCCTCACGGATGTGGACCTGGGTAAGGGAAACGGGGCTTCAGGGCGCACCCCCCCCGCTGCCGAGAGTGGGGCGAAGCTCCCTTGGTTGGGAACAAACCTGTGGGTCTTCTCCCAGCAAAGGCTTAGCAGACCTGAAGCAGTTTATTTGTATAATGACAGGGTTTCTAGCAACACCAGTAGAGTTGAGTGAACTACAACTGTCTAAATAAATGCTAGTGTAAGTGCTTGTGTGTGCCTGCATATGTGCATACTTGTGTATGCTTTTGCACATGCCTGTGCTTGTGCATATGCTTGTGCGTGTCCATAGATCTACATCAAGGGTGGGCAGTTATTTCGGGCTGAGGGCTTACTGAGTTTTGGCAAGCCATTGAGGGCCACATGACAAGCAGCCAGGGGCAGATAAATATTTATTTTCTAAATGTTTTAGGGACCCCGTGGTCCTGATAAAATGACCCGGTGGGCTGCATTTTGCCCACCCCTGATCTACATGCACATCTGCGCATGTGTATGCAGTGCTGTGGCAAGGAAGTTTGGCTCCTGGGGCAAACCCACAGCAACAGCTCGCCCCTATCTTTCGCACAGCTTGCAGGGGGCAGGGTGGGACACACGTTCCCCTCATCAGTGTTTGCCTGGGAGTGCATGCAGTGGTTGGAGCCACCCTTTCCCGTCCCCACGCCTCCCCAAATGAGCTGTTCGCAGCTCCATCCTGTTGGCACCCCTTCGCTTTGGCACCCAGGGCAGTCACCCCATTTGCCTCCAGCCCTTTGCTACAGCACTGCATGTGTGCATGTGCGAATATATGTACATACACATATAATGATGTATTAGAAAGCAAGGAGGCTGCATCATAAATGTGCTCTGTTCACTGAAGAAATAAATCCTGCCATTCCTTATTTGAACATTTTGCAGAATTGAGTTCTTATTTTGGCATCTTTAGTTTTTAATTTTAGAATGCTGTTGTAACTTCTTGTAGCCCTTGCTAAATCAGAGGTGTCAAAAGATCCAGCCTGCAGGCTACATGCCATCAGTGGAGCCACTGCAGGCTGCATGCCGTCAGTGGAACCATGTCGTGTCCCATGTAACTAGAAAGTTAGTAACAGAGTGAGCAGTGGCAAGATTAATTGCTGTGGCTTGTCTTGCTACCAAATTTCCAGCCCCACATGCTGGATACAGAGCAGGGAGCTGTCATCTGGCCCATGGGGCTGCCTGTGAGCTAGAAATTTGGTGGTGGATCAAGTGACTGCTGCCTCTCCAAGAGCTGCAACAAGTCCTATATTTACCTGAATCCAAAATGACCTTGAATTTAAGAGACCCCCCCAATAATTCTCTGTGGAAAATGTATACATTTATTATAGTTTTCCCTGTATAGAATCTAATTATTGGGGAATCATCTTAAATTCATGCCCCCACCCCTGCAGGTGACGAGGGGACAGGCAATGAGGCGACAGTAATGGGGCAGACAGTGAAGGGGAACGTGTAGGGCAGGTGGTAGGGGTGCAGTAATGGGGCAGGCAGTGGAGGTACAGGGAGTGGGCAGACAGGCATAGATTCATAGATTGTTAGGAGCTGGAAGGGACCTCGCAAGATCATTGGGTCCAGCCCCCTTGCATTAGGCAGGAAAGACAGCTGGGGTCAGGTGACCCCAACGAGGTGATTATCCAGTCTCTTGAAGATTTCTAGTTGATGCATGGCAGAGTATTGTTTTCCCTGCTGGCACACTGACGGCTCATGTTTATACTATGTTCTATTATTACCCCTAGGTCCCTTTCAGTCGTGGTGCTAGCAGGGCCGTCCCTAGGGGTGGGCAAGTGGGGCGGCTGCTGTACAGGCCCTGCTGCGGCCTCTGCACGCTGCCGGCTCCGCGGTCCAGCCACTCCACTGCACCCCCACACAGGCTGATATGCCCCAGGCCCCACACACCCCTAGGGACAGCTCTGGGTGCTAGTCAGTTGAGCACCACCGAGCTTGTAAGTATGTTGGGGATTATTCATCCCCAGATGGAGCACTTTACGCTTCTCAAAGTTGAATTTCATCTGGTTCCGATCCGCCCAATTTGCCAGCCTGTCTAGGTCTGCCTGTATCTGCAGCCTATTTTGAAGCATGACCATGCTACCCAATAACTTGGTGTCGTCTGCGAACTTGGTCAGTGAGCTCGTCACCCCGACATCCAAATCATTGATAAAGATGTTGAAAAACACTGGACCAAGCACGGACCCCTGAGGGACACCACTGACCACTTCTCACTGAGGCGACACAGATCCATTCATTAGAACTCTATGGGTGTTACCCCGCAGCCAGCTTCCTACCCACCTAACTGTCAAACAGTTAAGCCCATAATCCTCCAATTTTCCTGTGAGACCATCATGGGAAAGTAGATCAAAGGCCTTTTGGAAGTCTAGGTAAACAGTGTCAACCTCCTCTCTCTTACCTAGGTGGCGAGTTACCTGGTTGTAGAAAGAGATGAGATTGGTAAAACAAGACCTGCTCACAACAAAGCCATTGCACATAGACTCCTTGAAGAATTTTTCTAGGATTTTCCTTGGGATAGAAGTTAGGCTAATTAGCCTATAGTTGCCTGGGTCCTCTCTCCTCCCCTTCTTGAAAATGGGCACAACATTGTCCCTTTTTCAGTCTTCAGGTACCTCCCCTGAGCACCACGAGTTTTGGAAGAGTTTCGCCAGAGGTCCCGCAATGACTTCCTCCAGCTCCTTCAGCACTCTCAGATTAAGTTCATTTGGTCCTGTTGACTTATAAATGTCTAGCTTTTCTGACTGATCACGTACCAGCTCAGTGTCAACAGCAGGAAGGCGGTCATTCCCACCATGCCCATTCTGAACCTTATCTATTATGATATTCCCCTTAGTCCAGTGAAATACTGAAGCAAAGTAGTGATTCAGGAGTTCAGTTTTCTCCTGAGTGTCAGCAACTAGCTGTCCTGAGTTGTTAAGCAATGGTCACACACTTCCATTTGTTTTCCTCCTGTTCCCTACATACCTAAAGAAGGACTTCTTATTGTTCTTGATTTCTGTAGCTAGTTTAAATTCAGTCTCTGCCTTAGACTTTCTAACCTGCTTCCTACAAGTGCAGGCCGTTGTTGTATAGTCCTCCTTAGAGACTGTCCCAAGCTTCTGTTGTTTGTATGCCTCTTTCTTCTTTTTCAAGAGGACCATGATGATATCTGTATTAAGCCAAGAGGGCTTACCAACCCTTCTGCTACCTTTCCTCTGCATGGGAATGGACTTCTTGTGTGCTTCGAGGATTGTGTCCTTGAGGAACAACTACTCTTCATGCACTCCTTTCACCTTCGGTCCCTAATCCTGCAGCACTTCCCCTACTGTTGCCCTGAGCCTGTTGAAATTCTTTTTTGATGTCCAAAACTTCGACCCAGCTAGCTGATTTGCCTGCCTTGCGATGGACAGTGAATGTGATGGGTTTGTGGTCGCTGTCACCCAGGTTACCCTCTATATTCAAGGCACTCACCAGATCATCTCCTTTGGCCATGACCAAGTCTAGGAGAGTTTTACCTCTGGTTGGCCTGTGTACTTCCTGAGTCAGGTAGAGCTCTTCGATACAGGTGACTGATCCAACTTAGCTGAGTGCTCCTCCCAAGAGATGTCTGGGTAATTGCAGTCACCCATAATGGCCATGTCCCGTGCGTGCGTGGCCTCTGCCAGTTCTCGAGAGAACTGCAGATCGAGCTCCTCCTGGTTTGGTGGTCTGTAGTATATACCAACAGTTAGGTCTCTCTTACCATGCCCCCCCGCCCGGTAGTTTGACCAAGAGGGTTTTGAGCCGCTCTTCTTTGGAGCCAATGTTGGCGTCTAAGGAGGTGTACTGCTCCCTCACATAGACAGCTACACCTCCACCTTTCTTCCCTACTCAGTCCTTTCTGTGCAGGTTGTAGCCCTGTATGGCTATGTTCCAATCATGTGAGAAGTCCCACCAGGTCTCCATAATCCCTACTAGATCATAATGCCCACTGGAGAGTAGGAGGGCTAGCTCTTCCTGCTTGTTTCCAATGCTCCTGGCATTAGTGTACAGGCACCTGAGTCCTCCAATTGAGACCCTTGATTTCCTGTCACGCTGAGGGAGAACCATTCCCTCAGCTCTTGGAAGAGTGGCTGTCCTAGTGTCCCCAACTTTGGAGCTTACTTGTGTGCCGCTCCCCAGTGTTTCACCATGTCCCACTGATCTAAAGCCCTGTCTAGAAGCTTGGTCACCGTGGCCAAGAACAGGGACTTACCTCTCCATGTGAGGTGGATGTCATCCCTTCCCGGGAGTCCTCTCTCCCTGAAGTGTGCACTGTGGTCACAGAAACCGAAGCCCTCTTGGTAGTATTGGCTATATGATCAACACGTGGGTTTGGCAAACCGAGCTTTATTGCATAATGTATGGATAACTCAGGCAAATTAAGCAGTTTATATAAAAATTACTCTTACTCATTCACACCAAGTCACTTATTCGCATCACTTGGAGTCACACATTATCAGCCAATAAAAGCCAATTGCCGAGAACATCAATTTTCCTTTTATTGGTGCTGATACGATATGGACCAATGTATCAGGGTACCTCTAAGATAAAAAGCGTTGTGACTTGTAGAGGTTACAATACAAGTTTCCATAAGGAAAGTGTTTATTTTATCTGAAGAATGATTAAAATAATTACATTTCTATGGTATAGTATTAATGGGAATGTTTATCATTTTTTTTTAAGTTGCTTTGGAACTTGCTAAGAAAAATGATTCTCTGCCAAGTTCTGTGATGCTGCTTGATTTTATTCAACACATCATGAAATCTTCTCCGCTTATGTTCGTAAGTGTAAGTGAAAATCTCCCAGAGGCTGAGTGCAGTTGCATAGGTGAGTTGGGTTTTTTGTTTGTTTGGAGTTTTTTGGCCTACTTTAATTACAAGAAATAGTCTAACACAGGAATCAGCAACCTATGACCCATGGGCTGGGTACAGCTTTTAGAGCCATTTTATCTGGCCTATGGAGCTGGGGGTCTTTGTTGATGGCAGGGCTTTGCCCATATGGCAACCAGGCAGTTGGAAGAAATGGCAGTGGTTGCACCGTAAGAGAGAGTGGTGACTGCAGTTTCAATGGTGGTTGTGTGACCTGGGTTGGAAGTAATCCTACTCCTGGAGCTAAGCTCTAACAGAGCAACCCCCCATAAAGTGTTGCCAACCCATTGCCTAACATATCTTATATTAAGGTCAGCTCATTACACAGACTTCCTTTATCTCCATATCTGTTCTCTTTCATGTGTTTGTACTGTATGTTGTCAGTGAAATGAATCCCTGATGGCCTGTCACTGTAAACATGTTAGACTTGTGCAAATGAAAATAGGTCAGTACATATCCAAGGACAGATTTTTGGATTTCTTGATCGGATTTTTTGACAGATTTCTGGCTCGTTTAACCATTAAAATACAAACCAGCTCCCATCTGGGTCGAATCCTAAATGACATGGTAACTTTCTGTTTTTCTTTTGGATTTTGGCAAGTACCATAAAATATGGTAGGCCAAGGAAGCCTAAGGACAAAGTACGGCAGGTCAGGTCTCCTGACCAAAAAATAATCTCTTCAGTTAGAATTCATGCCTTCCTTTTCACACTTTTTAAAAATCTCACCTGGGAAAGCTATCAGGAAACCCCTGTGTGCCTACGATAGAGGGAAAGGAGTGGAACACAGATTAACAGTTTGAAACAGGTGTATGTATGGTAACAAGGTTAGTCACTTGCATAAGAGCAGGCAATGACTTTGAGCAGTCGCAATAGAGGAGGGGACCTGTGCTGTAAAGAACGGTCAGCCATCAGTTGCGGTTTGAGATGGATGCCGAGGACAAGAGTTCTTTATAGCATAGTACAGTGTTCTGAGGCTGCCACTTACATTTCTTTGTTTTTCTGTTTTTAAAGGTTACATATTAAAGGAGCAAACAATACTTAATTAAGGAAGAATCATTTATACCAAGTGGTTTTTACATAACCTTCTTAGCATATGAATCACAATATTGTTTTTGTTTTGTTTTTTTCCTAGAATTTAGTAATTGGATCATAACAAGGCTTTTACGAATTGCTTCAACTCCAAACTGCCACACGTTACACAAGAATATCTGTGATGTCATCTGTTCTTTGCTCTTTCTTTTTAAATCAAAGAGCTGTACCATTTTTGAGGTGCTAACAGGAGATTTACTACAACTTTTCCAAGATCTAATTTTCTTGCATGAAAGAAAGACACAGAGGCAACTCCACGGGGGGTTGTTAGTCTGGCCAGTAACAATAAATAGATTTTCAAGTAACAAAAATGATAATTTAGAATATTTAAGCTCAGCCCCATTGCAATTGATGGGCATGCCCAATGTTGAATGCTTGGAATTCACATTAATGACCATTCTAACTGACATTGTTCCTGATTTGTTTTGTGCAAGACAGGACCTTATTCTGTGGAGAATAGGCTGTTCTCTACTGGAGTATGGTAGTCCAAGAATTAAATCCCTATCCCTGATCTTTTTAGTAAAATTAATACAACTAGGAGGACCTCCAGAACAGCTTGCCAGTGCCTTCTTTATGGCCTTCTTTGGATTGTTGCAGTCAATACTTGAAACAGATGTTGAAAATTTAGAACTCTTTGAAGAACCTTTGCTGCTCTTGGTGAGGACATTGTTCCTCTTGGAAGCAGATTCCTATAGAAGAATTGAACCCATCTACCTATATATACTCCTAGAGAAGCTTTGTGCATTGTTTGAAGCAAATGTGCTCAGATACATCCAGTCTGAAAAGCTGAAAGATGCTTTGTGTCATATACTGCAATATTTTCTGAAGTTTGTGCCAGCTGGATATGAATCTGCTTTACAAGATAGAAAGGCCCATATTGGCACCATATGCACAATTTTTGTTGATGTACTTGGAAGTCAGGTAGATCAAGAGGTAGGTTAATTTGAAAAACTACTTTTCCTTTTGTCATTATGATACATGAGTGTACAGAATCTGTGCAAGGGAGATTATCTAGATGCTAGCCATTTCAGAAATGCATCTGGGGTAGTGAGTTGGGTTAGGAATAAAGCATGCATTCTTTTCTTTCTAATAGTTCTCTTTGTATAACTTCTATATGAAGTTTTGCACTTTGCGTGTAGGGGGTGTCTCATAGAGCTCATAGGACTCCATGCAGATGGAGAGGTCTTTCCATATAGCATATAGAACTGAGGCACAAGATTGTACTTGACTTGAAGAATTTACAGTGTACTGTCTGTATTTTAAATTGTGTAGCGCATTTTAGGTGCTGTAAAAATAGATAGGTTATCTAAGGTTGTGGGTATGGACAAACATAATGCCTGAAATGTTTCCAAAATCCAGATGCATGCAGGGAGTAGCCCAGGGGAGGCAGGAATTGGAGGGAACTATCAGTGCTTCTCTGCAGCCCCCACGTTCTTGGGCTACATCCCTGTTTTCCCTATCCTTTCTTTTCCCCCATCCCCAAGTTGCTGATGTTGGTGAGTGCTCTCCCATGGCAGTGGGGAGTGCAGGGTTCTTGCAGCTCTTGTAGTGTCCTGAGTGCCTGTAGTCCTGTTGCCTAGAGTGCTGGGGGCAGGGTAACCTGAGGGCCCAGAGTGCCAGGAGTGGCAGTACATGCAGCACCTAGAGAGCTGGGAGTCTCAGCTGTAGTATGGGATGATGGAGGACTGACCAACCCATAAAGATGCAGTGTGTTCCTTGCATGTATTATTTTGTCATATTTGAGGGCGTTTTATTCCACCTGTGCATCTGTACAGTTGCCTTTTGAAACATTTCAGAAACATTTCAAAGCTTTTTGAAATTTTCAAATGTTATTTCTGCCTTCATGTCAGATGGAGAAATGATTTTTCCAAGTAAGATGCTGGAGGAACCTTACTGAATTTACCATATTTACTTGCATCCAAGATTATGTTGGATTTATGACCGCTGCCCCCCATAATTTAATTATCTACCTGGAAAATGTATAAATTTGTTATAATTTTCCTGGTGTTGAATTTGATTATAAGTGGGTTGTCTTAAAATTGTCCCGTCTTTCCCACTGCTACAGCAGGTGGAAAAGCAAGGGCAGTCTGACTCCCCCTTAACCTCGCCATGGCTGCACTGCCTGGCACCCACCCCCCACCGCTGTGCCTGTGCCCCCTGGCACCTGCCTCCCCTGCTATTTGGGGCTCCCCTGCCTCCTGCCTTGACCCCTGCTGCATGCATTCCTTGGTGCCTGCCCCCTCCTGTCCTTTTGCCCCTTACCCCCAATTCTTTTTGGGTCACCCGGCCACCACTGCTTACCCTGGCCATGCAACAGCAGTTGTGACAGCGATGGCTTCAGCCATGAGCCCTGGGGTCAGGGTTGGAGCCAAAGCTGTTATTGGAGCTTTCTACTCCAGCAATGGGGGAGGGAAAAACCTTGGATTCAAGTAAATACTATATTTAAAAATGTTTAAATTCAGAGCAGTAACAGATATGCGTGTTGCTAAGAAGAGTATGACATCATAACAGGGTATTAGTATACAACTGCCTCTAGCTATTGGCAACAATATCAGTTACTTTAGCAGGTAGGAGAGTCATACTGAGCATATTTTCAGGTTTGCGTGCAAATTCATTTAATAAGTCCAGCATCAATGATACAAGTGGCATACAGAGTAGCATTCGTTTCCTGATATTTCATGCCTGAGAGCATTCCTGTAAATATTTGCTAGTCTTCCTCCACATCCCCTTCAAATCTCACCTTAAAACGTTTTTTGCCATGAAGCCTGTTGAAACACAAGCTACTGCTGTGCTGAGTCCACTATCTGTCATTCTGATGACACTGGTTACTTGAACCTCCCTTATCTATTCATTTATTGTCTCTCTCATTGGTTTGCAAAGTCTTTGGGTTAAAGCTTAATTTTTTTTTTTTGTTTTTACAGTTCTGAGTATAATGGGGGTCTGTCTGTGACTGAAGTTTCTAAGTGCTACTGTGTATATATTACATTAATTGTAGTATATTATATTAATTATAAATGAGCAAAATGGATTTTCCTGAATGCTTTTTGCCTAAGCATTGTGAAGGAAAGAGGACTATTGCTAGTAATCACTCAGAAAATGATGTAGAAAGCTGCATTACTCACATGGAAACTTTCCTTTCATTACATGAGTATTACGAGTGATCTAAGTTAATATTTCTTTTAATCTTACAGAGTTCAGTAGGAATATTCCATTAAGTAAAGCTTTCTGTAACAATTGCATAGTCAGGTCCTTGCACAGAAGTTTTGTGTGCCCTCAGGAGTTGTCTTGAGGTTGTGCTCTTGCTTTTTTAGTAGTAAAATATATATTCATTTATTTGTCTTCTCTTGACAAAGAGGAAACAGTCTAATGCTAACTTTTTGTGTGTATACGTGTCTTAGTATGTAGTGAGTCCACTCTATGTAGCATTAAAAACAGAAGGTCTGGAGATCATTCAGGAGTTTCAGCACTGGAACCAGCTTGATGCTTCTGATACAGATGGATGGAGCAGCAGTAGTGATGAAGTTCCAGAAAAAAGAAAACGACTAAGTCTGTCAATAAAGAATCAAAAGAAATCACCTGTACCACCAGTGTATGACATTTATTCAATTACTATTTTTATATTAATTTGAGAGAGAAGTATCTCAACTGCGCTTTCGAGCTCTGATAATATTTTGAAAACTTATTATATCATATCTGACATATATACACTTGTATTTTTATAGCCCACCAAAGAAACTGTTTTAAGGCTAACTGAACAAAACATTTTTTCCTGCATGAAATAATGTTATTTATTAGTTCATATTTTATTATCTAAAGGTCAGAGATAAGGAAAATTCCTACCCTCTCCTATTCTACTGTTATGTTCCCATATCAAAAACTAGTTTGTTCTAGAATTGTTTTACAAGGATTTTACATTGCAGAAGATATGTATTTGTTTGTTTGTTTTGTATTGGTTTAATTACAGGCTAAATTCTGTGAACATGAATGTGAAGAGCACGCTATGGAATGCAGTAAATAAGAAAGCTGAATCTTTAATATTTCTCCTTGAACAAGACACTCTACCAGCAGATGTTCTGCAGACTGTAGAAGGGATTACTGTAATACTACGATTGGCTGCCCTGTGTACAGTTCATTGTTCTCCCCCAAATTCTAACAGGTAAAATTACTAAGATGACCATTGTCTAATGGCTTCTTTCAGTTATGTAGGCACTCTTTTGTGAACTTGTGTAAGATTATTTGGGTACATTTTTATGTACAGCTTTGTATAAATCACCTGCTTTTTGATGAGTTGTTTTTTTCATAGTAAGAATTTGATTATACTTTAGCAAATGTTACAATAATCATATGATTTCTAAATGTTTTTCTTAACAGTGTGGATCATAAAATAACTCGTAGCTTGAGTAATCATAAACGTAATGCTACCCGGTCTTCAGATTCTGTGGTGAATGTACAACTGACCTGGATTTCCTCTGCTTTTATCATGAGAATAGTGAAACTCTGCAGAAAACTGTTAGAAGCTGCTGCTCAGATTGATAACTTGGAACCTGTCATTGACAGAATAGTGAAAATTGTTGATGCTTTGTTTTATATGCAAGGTGAGAAGTTGTTTAAATTCTGATTCTTTGTCAAGATGGTCTTCACTTACGGAGTGTCTCTGATTAACACTCCATTGCATAGAGGTTGCATTAAAGGGAGTTTTATCACCCCTGAAATATGGGGAGATTTTTCGGTCTGTGTGGAAAGAGCATCATTTTACTTTTTGAAGATTGCCTGTGCCTCTATTGTTTCTTCTTCAGAAAGAACTACTGTGTGGTTAGTGAACTTGCCTAAGAAATGAACTTTGTAGATAATACTGTATATTTGAATGTTTCATGAAATTTTAGAATTGTTTTTAATTGGCTTTAATACCCCATTGCTTTTAAAATGAAGAATTCTAATACATGGATGGTTTTGTTTGTACTTTAACAAATTAAGAATGTATAATATGCATCTTTTTCATAAGCAATATAGACTGGTAAATATATTTTTGGGGTTTTCCTTAGTAAAAAGCCAGCTCGATGATCAGATTCTGGAAAATTTATGTGAGATATTATCACTGCCATGGATTTATAGCCATCTTGATGACTCTTCTTTCAGTTCTGATCTTCTAGTTCTGAGCCAAAGGATTGCACATGGTTTCGGTAAGCATGGTAAACATCAGAACTTACCAGTCTTTGTCCATTTTATGTATTTAATGTGCCATGGGTATATGTCTTCTAATTTAATGTGGGCTTTGCAAATCTATGTGCAAGGGACAACAGGCTACTTACCCTGTCATATATGCAGTAATTTGTATCACTTTGTCTAATAGATTTTATTTTTTAAAAAACATAGACTACACACTTGTGTAGATAATGTTCCAAATTGGAACAGATCCTGTTTTGTGTCTTTAGAACCAGTAGAGAACACTTAGATATCTAACACTGAAATTCTGGTGCCAAATCCTCAGTCCTAGTGGCTTGCTCTGGAGCGTAACATATAGCTGGACAAATATATAAAATGCAAGAAAGTTTTCTAGCTCTTCAATATTTGGAGCTTTACGTAGTGTGTAATTTTATGTATTTTCCCCTCAGCACCTCAAATTCAGTCCCACTGCATATTCCTTCTGTCTCTGTTCCCAAGAAATATTCATCTGGATTGGAGAAAATCTGTTTACCATTGGGCGCTACAGAGTTCCCATGAGGTTGTTCGTGGTAGTTGTATTAAAGGATTCCCTGTCCTGCTGCACCATGTAGGTGTGAAGTCCTACAGTACGGTTCCCAATACTCTCTTGTACGTATTACTACTCTTTTCACTTTATCAGATTATACTTGAGAAGGAAAAAACTGCATGTGGAAATTTAGCATAAGCTCTGAAATCTTAGTTTGGGGGGAGACTGTTACTTTATTTTTTATCCAAAAAGTAGTAGGGGTTTTAGATAATATATAAAAGACAAACTTTCTGTCCAGTTATCATACAAAAAATCAAAATCAAATTTAAGATAAGGGAATGGGATTTGTTAAACATGCAGTATCCAAGAGATGCTGTATGTCTTGTACATATTCACATTCAGTTTCCTTTCAGTGCACATACAGTGTCCTCCTTTTTAATGTCCAGCCTCTAGTTTCTGTCCTACTGTGCCAAGTTAAAGATACTTTTTATCTACATGCACATGCCTTCTCATGAAGAAACCTTGGAAACCTAGAGAAAGTGTCAAAGGGAAACAAGAAGCTATTTTTAAAGAGCTGTGATTTCTATAAAGCCTAACATTGAGTATTTTGAAAGTATTGGAATGTAGAATATAAAAAATACAAATGACTGAGTGAAATACTAAAAGGGTTTTTTTGTTTTGTCTTTTGTTATAGAAACCAAGTAAAAGATGAATCTGAGTTAGTCAAGAAAGCTTGTGCGAGCATCACTGGGAAATTAGCTTGCTGTCTTTCCGGCACATTTAAATTAATACCTTATTTAACAGAACCTGATACTGAGCATGTCAAATATGATATTTTATGTAGCAGCCTTACTGTGAGCTCCACTCATGAAGATGCACGTTCAGTGAAAACCTTTGTCTTCAAGCCATTTCTTAATCTTCTTGAAAGCAGAGTACCCAGTTCAGTTAAACTAGGTACCTGACTTTTTTTTTTTAACACTCACTTGCATATGCTGAGTCACTTGCTACTGAGACTTTCCTTGAGTCGTTTCCATGTAGTATTCCTTTTATGTTTAACTAGCAGTGCGTGGGATTTTACGTTTAAATTATATTAAATATCAATTTTAGATATTAAGTTAATCATAGTTAAGTAAGAAATATATATAACATTTAGTCTGTTTCTGTCTGTGAGTCTAATATTTGCTATAAATTAAATTATAAAGAAGCATATTGTTTGAAAATATTTTTTGTATTAATAAATAGGTTCATGAAATGTAGCATTATTTTGCTTGATCCTGTTACATCACTGTAAGTTCTTAAAAACATTAAACTCTAAATATAGATTCTCCTACCTTCCCCAACCCCTTTCTTTCTATTAGCATTTATAGAAAATATACCTCATCTTTGCAAACATCTGGATTTTAAAGATGAAGAATCAGATGTCAAGATTTTTGTTTTGTGTCTATTGAATTTAATGGAAGATCCAGACAAAGATGTAAGAGTGGCTTTCAGTGACCATATCCGGAACATATTAGAATCCTTGGATTCTGAGGAAGGTTTCATAAAAGAGGTGAAGTTGTTCACATATGTGTGTGTGTGTGTTTGGGGGGTTGTTGGTTGTAGCTGTGTTGGTCTAAGGACATATGCAGGCTATATAGACATTGGATTTATGATGCATTACAATCTGCCTGACACACCAGGTAACCTGCCTTTAGCTGACCACTGGCATTCCTTTCCATCCCCCCACCCATCTCTACCCTTTGTCTTCCAGACTTTCATTCCCCAGACTTCTTATTTACTTTAGCTTCTTTTCTACCTTGGGAGACATCATAACAGTGGCAGAGTCTCCCAATGCCTGAAGAAGGGTGTTTGTACCTGAAAGCTTGCCAAGAAATGTTTTCCAACTCTTTAGTTGGTCTAATACAAGATATCACATCTACTCAAAGAACCTTGTTTGTGTGTGTGTCTGTTTGGTAGGGGTTTTTTTAAGAGCTTTGAATTTTCCATTAAAAAAACAACCTGTTTAACTAATGCTAAAAGTTTTGTCCTTTTCAAATTTATTGTTCCAGCTTTTTGTTTCAAGAATAAAAGAAGCCTATACAAATGCTAAAATATCAAGAAATAATGAGTTGAAGGATACACTGATTCTCACAACAGGAGATATTGGAAGGGATTTTTATCTGTGTTTTATACGTTGCTCATTGCTGGATATTTTTGGTTTACAGTTCAGAGATGTGTCTTTCACAAGCATAGATGCCAGGAATAAAACTTTCAAAACCCAGTCTTGCAGTCAGATCCACCCAAGGTGATCTTGTGTCTATACTTAGTCTTAGTGACTTTAGTAGAGATTCCATTGCGGTTCTCATCTGTTAAATTTACTTGCTCTTTAAAAAAATGTCTATTACGTAGTGTTTTATTTTCTAAATATATTGAAAAATTGCATTTATTAGGGCACCCTGCATAGTACTGAAACTTGTAGGAAGCTTTTCCCTCCCCCAGTGTTATAAGTAGTGTCTTGTGCCAACTGTGTAATAATAATTTTCTGTTTCTTTTTCGAAGGGCAGCAAAAGGGGATTTGGTGCCATTTGCACTTTTGCACTTGTTGCATTGCTTGCTGTCCAAATCTGCATCTGTGGCTGGAGCAGCATATGCAGAAATTAGGGCACTAGCAGCAGCCAAGTCTATAAAGCTGCAAGCTTTCTTCAGTCAATACAAGAAGCCTATTTGTCAGGTGAGGGGAAAAAAGAGCAATGCCTTAAGGAGCAAGTATTATATATTGCCATATTTTAAAGACAAAGGGGGTCTCCTGACTTTATATTAGAATGGTATAAGACAAAAAAGACCCTTCAGAAGAGTGGGAAGTCAATGACTTCTTGTAAAGGGCGTGGTGGTGGATCTGTGTTTGATGTGGATGTTATTTCTAGAGGTGGGAAGCTAATATAGAAATATGTTTCTTATTGCTTTAGTTTCTAGTGGAATCCTTGCACTCCAGCCAAGTGATAGCAATTTCTAATACTCCATGCCAAAGTAGTGAGCTACAAAAACAAGAGACTATTCATCACAGAGAAGTTGCCTTGAACACGCTATCTGAAATTGCCAATGTATTTGATTTTCCAGACCTCAATCGCTTTTTGTCTGTGAGTTGATAGTTCCTTTTACTTCTGTTGCTTGTGTACTTGTGGGCTTGTATATACTTTAGTCAGCTGTTTTCTACTAATTCTTAGACCTCTGGATTTTTTGTTTTTTCAGCCTCTTCCTCCTCTAATAGGGTAACTATAATTGAGATCACTTAGAATTGCTTCTGATGGCAGGTAAAGGGAGGATGGAAATTATTTAGTCAAGGTGCTGAGGAAGGTGAGCTACAGTGGCAGTTTGGCACATGAAGGAGGCGTGCCATCCATGGATCTAAGTGGAGTACACATTTGCTCAGAACACTTACTGGCTATAGCTATTAAATGGAATAAGTATTGAATCAAAACCCTTCTGCTTTGAAGTGATTTTTTTTTTGCTGTCATAACTTAGATAAGATGTTCTGGATAGAATAAGATAAAAGTAGTTTCATATGCACCACTTAATTGTCTATAAGTGTCATCTTGTTTGTTGGAAGTGAGCAACAGTTCTGGGGCATAGCAAGATGAAAAGTGTCCCGGGTGTTCCTTTTGTGAAGAGATTAACTAGATAGAACTCTTCAGTATATCACCATCTGGATAGATTCATTTCTTCTAGAATTTCTTATTTTAAAGCACCACTAGACAGGGGTGGCCAACTTATAGCACCTGTGCCACAGCTAGCACGAGCAGCCTTTGTGGTACACAGCAGCTCAGGAAGCGGGGCCAGGCAGCATAGCAGCTAAAAGGGCAAGGAGCAGAAGATCAGCTAGGGCAAGAAGAAGGAGGGAGAGGATCAAGGTGGCACTCAGGGAAGGTGCAGGGCTAACATCTGCCAAAAAGTTGGTTTGCACTACTGTAGGAAATTATTTTTCCAGTATTGTTTTCATGACTTGAGAATTTCCTCCTCTTCAGTATTTTTGTGGACTTACCATTGATTAGTCCATCTTAATTCAAAGTAATCATGAAGTTATACATTTATACAGGCAAGAAGGGGGAAAAAGGGAAATATCTTTTTTTCTAGTAAGTGTTGTTCTTTTAATTTGCCAGCGGACCCTGCAAGTTCTACTTCCTGACCTTGCAGCCAAAGCAAGTCCTGCAGCTTCTGAGCTTATTCGGACCATAGCAAGACAGCTGAATGTAAACCGCAGAGAAATCTTAATCAACAACTTTAAGTACATCTTCTCTCACTTGGTCTGTTCTTGTACGAAGGATGAGCTGGAGAGAGCACTTCACTACCTCAGGGTAATGTTCATTTGCCAAACTTACTCTTGCAGATAAAGAGCTTTTCCTATGCTGTGGCAGGGAGAAATAGCTTCAATGGATGGATCCTAGCAGGTGCCTCTGACCTGAGCTGGGTCTTCCTGGCCCGCGTTCTAAAAAGTTTACTTACCCCTTTTTCAAAAAGTATGTTTTTTAAAGTTTTTTGGCCACATACTTGTTTACCTGCAAAATGTTGCTATCCATACCCCCTACACCCAGTACATCTCTATTCCTGTTGATGCTGACATCAATGGGCAGCAATGCCATTAGTCAATGCATGTTGACCATTCGAAGTTTCACTTCCACCATTTTTTAAATTTAGGCACAGATCCCTTAGCAAAGTGCCACATACCCCGGGTGTTGCAGTCAAAAGCGGGATTCGAACCCAGTGCAGTTAAGGATTAACACCACACCTGATTTGATTAATGACAGGAAGGCTTTAATAACTATACCACAAACAAGCTATAAACTAAATGACAGAAAAAGACTCCTTCCTTCCATTATTCAGTGAATGAGTTATCAAAGAAGTCCTAGTATATGTTAGCTGTAAGAGTCTCTCTCACTAATGCAGTTTCAGTTTTTGCAGCGGTCATTGGGAGTGGATCCTTCAGAGGGATTGATCAGCTGGGTGCAGGTTACAATGTTGTAGTGATTTCTCTGTCTCCTGAAGTGCACACTTTGCCAGCAACTCTGTTTTGTTCATATACCGTTTAATTGCATAGCTTCAAAGCATTCCACCTTGATAGTTGGTCAATTAAAGTCTCTGAACAAAGCAGGTAGGGAGAGACTATCATATTACATTTGTTAACTGCTTGGAATCTGTTTTGGTCGTTCAGTTGTGAAACTTGCTTTTGTAAGCTTTTGATCTGTCCAGAGCTTATACTCAGTCACATGGGATGGGTCTTGATTGACTGAATGGGATACCTTAGGGCAATGATTACAGGACCCTTTTTTGGGTAGTTTTTTTAACAGTGGGGCAGAACCCAAAATATTCTGAACCAGAGGTGGTCTATGGAGACATTTACAAAACTCCAAACAGGCACTGAATGCCTGTTCTGAGAAGTATGCCTTGATCAAGGGACGATGTGTTAACAAGGAGGATACAGTCACATAGGGATATGCAGTTATTTATGAATGGTTTAGCATAATAAAACATTGGATATTTTTGCAACTAGCACAAGAAATTAAATCAATCGGGATTGCTTCATTTTGCATGGTCCTGTCACAACCCAAAGTTATGGATTTTTAAATTGTGTGTGCTTCGGCACCGCTAAATTATGTTCCCGCCGAATTGGAGCTCTTTTGCACGACGGAGTGTTCTGTTGTTATGGAGAACCCGCGTGCACAAAAGTGTTTCCCGCCGTTCTGTAGCCTTCTTTGCATTGTGCATTACTCTTG